TTGTTTTAAGACACATATTGCTGTGAAAGAGAGCAAACAACTGTTTTGTACATAGCATCAGAATAGTAACTTTCAGAACCTTCAGCTAATAAACATAAAGAGTCAATTCAACATAGTTCAGACTGAAAGATCACTGTTCACTAATTACATATCTTCAAGCCCAAGTAATGATATTCCAGCTGCGGCTGGGACAGTTAGGATGGACTTGTTAGCATTAGAAAAGTTACGACGGTGTTTCTCTAATACTTGTAGCAAAAACTGTTTCTATTCCTCTTGATTGGTTAATACTCCATTGAATGCTTGAATTAGGGCCACTCCACGCTCGGCTGCATCATTGACGACTTTCAAACTCGCAACTTTCTTCTGGCCAACAATGTCGTCGTTATAAGTGGCCCATGTGTCTGAATTTGTGGTCAGGAAATGTTATGGGATGTTCAAAGCTGTGAAAAGTATCCTGGTGTGCTGTAATACGAAATCAGAAAGTTTATTTTGTTGTAATGTTGGACAGAAGGCTATTTGACGAGGATGATCTGTTTTTTTCTTATCAAGTGCTGCAACCACGGCTAACTTCATTTCAGATGAAATATAATTGTTAAAAAATTAAAAAACTAACCGGAATTTTATTCAAGTGCCACAAGTGTCTAGAGAATGATTTTATTGCTGCTTCGGCAACGGTGTCATTTGTTTCCTTGTAGTTCTCCAATTGTTGTCTCCAAATGTGATCTCCAAGTAGCTGCAAATCTCTACGGTGAGCAGATGTAGCACATGGTGATGTAAACCACGAATTCAGGTAGACCTTAAGTATGAATGTGTCAACGCGAAATGAAATTTTTATAGCTGTAAATCAGTTTTGTCATCCACCGTACTCGGTGAAAAGCTCCAGGAGCCAGAATCTTTTCATCTGAACCACAAGCTGCACCTAGAAAAAGAAGTGATAGTCGTAGAAACTCACGATAATAATCTTTGGGCTGAAACACTGTTAGCTGATTCTGAATGAAGTGAATGAGTTCATCCCGAATTGGATTGAGAACCACTGCAATATAATCTACATCCATTCCACTTGCATACATTGATGTGTCAATTGAGCCTCAATATTTACGAAATTTCTGAAATAACTTGATTTTTGGTCCACTAGATGGCCCTATCAGTAAATCAAACACCTTTGCCATAATGAGTTCCATTATGTGGTGCCTGCATGCTTAGCTGATCAATTCTCTGCCAAGTTTCTTCTCCAAAAGGATGCAGGCACCTGCATTTATGCCAGTGGTTCTGGCCGTAGTGTCAAAACAAATGAACTTGATGTTATTAGCAATGTTCCATTCTTGAATAAGATTAAACACGACAGTTGCCTTGGCCTTTCCAGTTCCATTTGGGAATTTTGGTACTTCCAGCAACTTCATTGTTCCATCACCGGATACCAGAACAGCAAAACGATCAACTAACTCTTTTGATGTTAATGCAGGCAACATTTTTCAATCCCAGTGCACAGTTAATGGGCAGTTCGGATAAAACAATGCATGAATCTCTTTCGCTGCTGCTTCACGATGTTTACGTCGACTACGTTTGACTGAACGTTTGACTGATTCCTTGTTAATCGCCGTACTGTGGCCAAGTGATTCTACTGCTGCTACAATTATGAAAACTGCGTTTTTGTTACTGACTTTACTTCTATCTAATGCAGCTGCCAAACCTGGACTCATAATATTGGTGCAACGGACGATCCTCACTGGTTTAGTAGACACTTCAGGTGGTTCGGGGAGGGGGGAGTCATCAGGATTATTGAGATCACAACCATCAGTGCTCTTAGCCTCTGTGTCACTGTCATTGCTGGCACTAAACTCCATTTTCTTTGCCTCATGTTGTATCCGCTTTGCATTCTTTTCCTTACGATATTCTTGCTCTAAGCGTCTTTTATGAGACCTTTGTTCTTTCCAAGCAACATATCCTCTGGAACCATGCAACCGCACCTCCCTTTCTCTTTTTGTGCTTCAAGAAATTTTATGTCTTTAGGTACCTGCATCATATTAAAACTTCAGCATGTGCAACATCAAAGAATTCAGTCGAACTTTCAGTAAATTGATGCTCCTTCTCCTTCTGAGTACCTGTTCTGCGGGATACATTTTTTCTTATTCCAATCCATGCTGAATGGAGATCCTTTTATCATGGCAGTTATATGGCATTCTTTGCAAACTGGAATGCGTGCCTTATACCAGAACTGAACAACTTCTTTCATTGTCACTATGGCCTTAGCAATAACAGTCTGAGATTCAGTCTTATGAAGATGAAAGAATCAACACCACTGAAAAACTGTGTAATTTTTACTTTTTTTACTTAAATATTATCAATTAATATAGAAGGCGTTTCATATTGTATTAATTTTTTTTTGGAAAGTGGGTGAAATAGAGTCCAGTTAGTTTTGTCAATACTCATGAAAGTTTATTTTCTTTGAACCAGTTGGAGAATTTTTTAAGTTCTTAGTTTATAATTTCAAATAATAAAGTAATGTTGTTGTGCGAAAAATGAGTTTGTGTTGTCGGCAAACATTATTATCCTAAGGCTGGATGCTTATGGAGATCATTGACATATATTAGAAAAAGAAGAGGTCCGAGTACCTTATGGAAAGTCACAAGTAATGTTTTTGGTGATTAAGCCTCGATAAGTACATATTGAACAAGATTGTTTAAATAACTCTTTACTCATTTTAAAACGACTCCTGTGATTCCATATAGTTCGAGCTTTTTAATAAGAATTTTGATGGTCAATAGTATTAAAAGCTTATAAAAATTCCTAATATATATTCAGATTTGTTAAACGACTTGTTAACACTACGTGTAAACTGAAGTATTGCATGTTTGGTGGAGTTTTTTTTTTTTTTTGAAACTATATTGATTATTAAGTAATATATTATTTACAGAAAGATGAGTCGTGATTTTGTTATATAAGATTCACTCTGAATTTTTTAAAAACACATATATAATATAGAGAGAGGGCGTCTAATACACAGAGAGAAGGCGCTTAATACAGAAAAAGGGCGTCTATTCCAGCAATTGAACGATCTGCCGTAGCTTTGAAATTGCTTAACATCAAAAGAAGCGAACAAATTAAGCTTGGAAAAATATTAATATTAATACATTAATATACCAATATTTCCACAAATCGAACCAAATAAAATTCCTAATTTAGTGTCGCCAGATTCCTGGTTTCTATTTGATATACGTAAAATTAAACATAACCAAGTGGGTTGGTTGAAACTACGCGTTGAACGTTGGAAAAAGATGAAGGACAATATGTTTACAAATTATACAAAAAGACACAAAAACATAGTGAAATGAACTTTTTTTTGCACCCATGCACGGCGAAACTGGTGTTAACGGAATTTGAGGATTTCTAAGATCCATAATATTGGTTTAAAATATCAACAAAACGGTAGCATTTTATTTATTTTTAATATAAATTTCAAGTTTTTTTAAGGAACTTTTTTAGTCTAGGGAAAGTAATAAAATTGGTGTAAAGGGTTTATATTTTTTTGGTGATGTGAAAAATATTTATTGATATGACATGTAATATTGTACATATAATTTTCACCGTAGCTTACGCTTATGTCTAAAGCTCATTAAGCAAAAGATGCAAGTTCAGATAATTCTATCCAATCGTTTAATACATTTTAGCTTGGGGCCAATACATTGCTTACCCCAAGTCGAACACCAACGTTGTGCTAAAGTTATGTGTGGTTGACCAACTTATGTTTGGTATCTAAGGTTGAATACTGCAACCTGATCATTATAGGGCATTTTGATAATAGCTGTAGTTGATTAATAAAACATATGATGCCTCCGTCAAATCAGTTCTAAGTTGCATGTTATAAGCACTTAAGTCTCAAAGGGCTCTTTAGGGTAGTTTTCCATTCAATTATTATCGCATCGAATAGATTTGCATTATTTATCTTAGTATGTGACCCTAGAAAATGCTTAGAGTGTAAAATATAAACCTTTCTAATAAAATCACATTTGATCCAATGTTCAGATATAATAGCATAATAATATAGATATAATAGCAGCCGTGGCGCAGTGGCAGCGCACATGCCTCAAAAACAAAGGACCCGTGGTTCAAACCCCACCTCTGGGCAGGTTTTGCGACATCGGTAAGGAAGGAGGCGTTAATTTCCAATAAATGCTCATCCACGGTGCCCTGTGATAAGACCCTAAAGACTTCTTGGGACACCTAAATAAATTAAAATTTTTTTTTTTTCAACGACAACCGCGAGCAAGTCCCTAGTAGCCCAGTACGACGGACATATACGCAATATATTTTTTTAATTACGAACTTTGAAAAAAATGCTATTATTAGCTTTCTTTATTTGTAAATATATGTGGTACAGTAGCTGCATATGTATATAACATAAAGATATATTTTTTAAACGTATATGGAAGGGTGTTGTACTAAACGTTATTGGGGGTGTTTACGTAATTATACATACGCAAAGGCTAACCCGTATTTTTAAATCTTAAAAGTAAAAAAATAGTATATCATAACGGTTCCTGCCAAAATTCCAAAAAGATTTATTGACAATTCTGATAATCCAGATCTGGTACATCCATAATGTCGTCATAATTTAAATTTTTAAATTATAACTTTGTTGGAATAAAATTTTTAACCCAATGAAAATATTATTCAACAAGCTAATTTTGCTTAATAGAAAGAAAAAAAAAAACTAAATTATAAATTAATGTTTAATAAATAATTAAAATAGTTTTATAAAAATTTACAAAACAAGATATCAATAAAATCTCTATCAAAAATATTTTTGATTTGCGGAAAATATTTAATTAAATATTGCAAAATTTTACCACAGGGCGATTCAAACGATTATTGAATCCTACCGCCACTAATTAAATTTCCGAATTTGCTGAATCTGCTACACCCGATTAAATTTCTATATTGAAGTCTTATTTACTTAAATAATCATTATTTATTAGCTAATAGACTTATATCAAAACATCTTATTTGTCGCAAAGTTTATTATCTAAAACCTGCTTGCGTTAATTCGAAAAATTATGTATCTATATCTACAAACAGATTATCCGTACATAGTACTTGTTCAAACGCATCAGAGCAAGAAATAATTTTGGTACTGCCAATAATGACCTAAAATAAAAACACAAAAATATTTTAATAATTATGTTTAAATATTTTGCAACAACTACAAAAAAAACTTTTTTTATCACCTTTTGCGTAGGACAGAATTTATTTAACAGTTCTTTTATACATTTAATTTCATGCCAAGTTATTCCTCCAACAACAAAAAGAAATATGATAGAATGGTCACTAGGACGAGGTTTACTCACACTCATAAAAAATCTGTTCAAAGAAAAAATGAAATCAAAAATTAATTACTTAATGAAAAAATTTAATAAGCATAAAAATTTCAAAAATAATACAACGATTTTAATAACTTACCCAAAACCAGTCTTAAGAAAGTCCCGAAAACCATGGGAACAAAACTCGATATCAGTTAAATCAGTTTTAGTAGGATCGAATATCTGCTCTAGTATTTGTTTAATAATAGGTTTATATTCCAAACCAGATGATGTTTTAACAAAAAGAGACCTTAGTAAAATTAATATTTCGATTAAACATAAGTTTAAAATATGAGGCGTTAAATAAACTTTTGATGAATGTCAAAATAAAAAACCAAAAAAATAAAATAAAAAACAAATAAAGAAAATAATACTTTAGTTGCTGCATTTGAGTTCTCGCTTGGCTGATACCTCGTAGCCTTTCAAATATATCAGCTACACGTGTACGTATTTGGCGCTCACTTGAGTCCAGATCTCCTGCAATTTAAAATAATAAAGATAACAAGTTCATTATTTACTTTCTGCTCAAACCAACCCTGTTTATAACTATTTTATTCATTTTTTAAACAATTTTTCCTCAAACCTATTTGTAATTAATTTATTAATTTGAGTTAGTTTAACAATTTTTTATAAAATACGCATAAAACTGCTCGCGAGGACCAATTTTGTCAGATTTAAAGGCTTCTTCAAGATTTAAAAAAAACCTAGTGCATCTAATGCTATAATTTATTTACTATTAATATGCATTCTGCATAAATGAGTAAAAGAAAGTAACAAAATACAGAACTGATCTAATTTTAACAAAAGCCAAACAAAGTCAAGGTTGTTTTTGGGGTAAATTATTAAAATTCAATAGACAGTTGACTCCTTATAATTTTTTTTTCAAATTTTCCAAATTCAGTTTTCTTTTATTATATAGAAGAAATCTATTGTCACCTCACCCTTCTGCATATGTACAGCGCAATCATAACAGTGACGGATTGTTTTTTCATTGTTTAATTCTGTGTAACTTGATTTTACTTTTAAAACAAATATAATTTATAATTAAAACATGATTGATAATTAAGCTGAAAACAAAATGACTGCTCGCTACTGTTTTTTGACTCAAAATAAAATTTTTTGAGATACTTAATAATAATATGTGAAACATCTTATGTTTACGAGATATTCATTTAGCTTTTGTGTTGAATTTATAGAAGTCAAATTGCAATCGATCTTGTACAAACATAATACAGGATTTAATCAGAAATGTTATTAACTTGATCCAAAGCGAAAAACTTTAAAAATTAAACAGTAAGTAATATCAAACTTTGGATGATTTTTTTTTCAACTAACATTCTTAAGGTATTTACAAGATTTAGAGCAACTAAATACTTCAATAAAATACAAAATAATCCCATTAATTTCTCTGTGTGCAATCCAGATAAGAACAAAAAAAAAATATCTTAATTATAGACATTATTATCATTGTTATTATCTAAGTTAACTCTAAGCGTTTTTAAAATATATTTAGAATAACCAGATCTTCAATTTTAAATTTGTCCAACTAACATCCCTAACGAAGCCAATGCTCAAAACCTTTAATAAAACTTCGTTTAAAGTATTGAACAAGACCATTATCTTTTAAAAGTTCAAATAAATCAATAACTTTTTAATGATGGTCTCTACTAAATAATAAAGTCATAAATTAACTTTGAAAGAATAATAAAGTCATAAATTAACTTTGAAAGAATAGTAAAGTCATAAATTAACTTTAAAAAAACAATAAAGTCATAAATAAATTTTGAAAAAATAATAGTCATAAATTAACTTTGAAAAAATAATAAATTTGTAAATGAACTTTGAAAGCAAAATGCCAAGAACTCTTTATTATTAGACAGTACCAAACAAAACCAAAAAAAAAAATAATTCCATAAGCAGCAAAATTTGTTTTAGATCTTCATTTGAATATTCGAAGTACAAGTATACATAAACTATTTGCAGTGACCATTTCTAGAAAAAGTTACTGCAAAAAAATTAAAGACATCACGCCAAGAATTTTCAAAATTAATATAAAACCTTGGAAAACTTTAACATTTTTTGCTTGTAATACCAGAGGCAATTTTTTAAACCTTTTTTAAAACCATTTTTTAAATTAAATAACATCAGTTTAATGTCAATTTACAAAACTCTATAAATACAAGGCTAAAAACATGTAAAAAAAAAAAAAAAATTAATTCCTAAACTCACCAAAAAAGAACTTTTTTAAAAGAAAATTTAAAATCTGAAATTACCCATAATAAAAAGCAAATCTTCTTTGTGCTCTCCATCCATTAATATATTTATAATAGCTTCCTATATACAAATAATAATACATTCATGATTAGTATAATAAAAATTAAACTAAAAAATTAAAATATAAACTTTATACACCAGGATTATTTAAGCAGGTATCCAAAGTTATGAACAAAAAGTCTTATGTCCAGGTAACCCTATTTTTACCCAGATTATACATATATAGATTATACATATACATATTATATATATTTAACTTAGTACAGGATTTAATAATGCATCATACTACAAATATAAAATCAGAAAGAAAAATGCAGTTTTCACTACTCATACGTAGTATTAAACATTCACTTACAACAGTACATATGACGTATATTATACATTTACACATACATTCATTGTACTAATGTAAATTGTACAAAACATTATTATGTGATGTCTGTATTGATTATAACTTGAAAGATACAGTACAGAAGTACAGAAAACAGAACTTTGGTTTCTAACACATTGCCAACTTACCAACACAAGCAGCGTAAAAAGCTTGACTGTTAACTAAATACATTACATATTTATGCATGCTTTGGAGTAGCTTTCTAAACTGTGGCATAGACGTACTCTAACTTCAATTAATGCTTTGGAGAAGGAGAGCTTTCTTAACTGTGGCAAATTCCAATATAGTTGTTGTTATGGCTAGTTCAAGCTCATAAACCTCAAACTTATGAGCTTGAACCGCCGATACCAAAAACACAAATTTATATAAATGTAAGCTACTGTATATATACAAATCTGTTTTGGTAGATTGGTTTTGAACTATTAAATTTGTTTTTTAAAAGAGTAAATATAAACAACAAATATCAACTAAAAACAATCTAGCCATATCTACAAATTTGTTTGAAAAATGCTATTTAGAGATAACTTTTTTTTTGACATCATTATTTTAACATGCCAGTTGTTTTTTCCTAATTTCGACATTAAACGTACCATGCATATGTTTTCTTAAAATTTATAATAGATTTAGTGTAGTGGCTTGAAGGTAATTTAGGCCAAAAAATGGTAAAATGATTTTTTAGACAAACAATTAGTTTTTTAGCTTAGTCGTCATTTTTGAAATTTTTGAAATTAGAATTAAGACTGGTTAGAACAGTATATATGGCTTCAAAAAGAGGAGGTAAATATTTTTTTTTAATTCTAGTTCTAATTCTAGAGTTATTTATAATTTTTAAAAGAATGCAGAATGATTTTACAATTTTAAAAGAATGCAGAATGATTTTACAATTTTAAAAAAATGCAGAATGATTTTACAATTTTAAAAGAATGCAGAATGATTTTACAATTTTATTCTTTAAAAGAAGAAAAAAAACTTTTACACGCTTAACTCAATCAAGATGTTGAAATTTTGTTAGTTGAAATAATGATAAATATTTTTTAATAATAACATAAAAAAAATAAATGCAAAAATGACCTAAACATTACCTTGCATGTGTTATTACTTATACCGTGCAAATATTACAAAGGATACTTTCAAAGTAACAAATAATACCCCAATGCTTTTCTAATTCTTTTTATTTTAAAACATTGAAATTAAGAAAATGCTATTACACACTATTAAAAGATGAAAATAGTATTACAGCACCGGCACCAAAATCAAAATGTCAACTACTAATACATTAAATATGATTAAGGTACTATACACACTTCACAATACTGAACAGCAGTAAAAATAAATTCAATCACCAAACCAATAAGCAAATCCGGTTGGAACAGCCAATGTTTTCTTAGTGTTAGAACAGATGGCATGCATATTGAGGAGTCATTTAATGTGAGAACAGATAGCACGCATATGGAGAAGTCAACAAGACACTGATGTTGACAACATTTTCAACTTGTAAAAGTTTTTGAAGTTGAAATTTTTTTTTATTCATTTCCATTAATAGTTCATATTCAAAAATAAAATAAGATTCATCATCAATAAAATATGTTCAGGAAAGAACTCTTAACTTGAATTACATATCATTTTTCCAAGTGTTTCATTAAAAAAAAATATTGACTTTGCACCCCTTCATTTTAAAAATACACTATACATACATACATTTACACTATACATACATTTACATACACTATACATACATTTACAGTATAAATGGTATTACGAATTAAAAAGTACAATATTTTTATGAGTTTAACTAAAACAACCTTTAGCACTTCCTCTTCTGCTAATGGAGAAATCATTGTATCTTTATGTGCAGAGTATACAAGCAGACTTAATACGAGAGCATCTACAACACTGAACCTAATAAATCATTATTTAATTAGTATAGTATAAACATTTTGCTAATATAGTATAAACATTTTGCTCAAGATTTTAAGCAGTAAAAAAAAAAAAAAAAATTAAGCTTTTTAAAACTCAAAAACTCATCATCATCATCATTTCTTTAGTGATAAAAAAACCTTCATCTCTATTAAAATATTAAAAAAAAAAAAATTATTTTGTTCAAACAGTTGACAGTTGTAAAAAAAACATTCTTGGCTAATAATTATAAACATTAAGTTAAGTTTTTTTTTAAATAAAACTATAAACAAGACAAAGAGAAAAGTGTAAGTAACACTTCTTTCTAGTGTTACTTAGGCTTTGTACCTGCAAAGTTTAGATAAGTTCAAACATCTATTTTATTGTATTTTATTTTCAACATCTATTTGTAACATCAAACACTTATATCATGTATTTTATTTTTCTTTCTATTTGAGTAAAATATATTTATTTTGTATTATTACTTTATATTAATTTGTTGTAAATATTATTTTGTTGTAAATATTATATTGCTATAAATATTATATTTAAAATGTAAAACGCACTTTATATAAATTTGCATTCTTGAAGGTACTTTGTTTTCAATTGAATATATCAGTCATTATTAAAATTTTAGTGATTGTTAATTGGAGTAGAATGTATCTTTCAAAGGTTGGTTAATTGGAGTAGAATATATCTTTCAAAAGTTAATAAAACAGTCCTACTTTTATTTTTTTTTTCCCTTTCAATTGTTAAATTTGCAAAAAAAAAAAAAAAAAAAAACATTTCAGAAATAATCAACACATTTGCCACAAAGAAAACCCAAAGCCTTTTCATGCCTTTGAAATAAATACTTTGTATAGGGTTCAGAAATTAAAATACCCTATATTACCCTGATCAAATTTTCTCTTAAAAGTTTTATATTCTTAAATTATATTTCAGTATTAAATGTCAGTCACATATTAAAGATGATAGTAATTATTAAAAAAATTACCAACTATTGTTAGTATATACTACTAAAAAGTTACTAAAAAAATTGAAGAGAAAAAAAAAAAAAGGTTTTAAAATTCTTTTACAGGAGAATTGTAAATAAGAAAAAGTATATAATTTGTAAATAAAAAGTTATTAACTTTTTTATTTCAATTTGCAATTATATTTTTGGGATAATGCAGTGTAGGTACCATGTTAACAAATAAACCTTTAAAAACAAAATTATCAAGAAAAAATAACTTAAACATAAAAATATATTTGTTAATATTATAATTCAAATTTTATACTATTTCAAAATTTTGCATAAAAATTTGTTATGATAATTGAAAATAAATTCTGAACTCACAAAATGTCCAATTTAAAAATGTTTGTTTAAAACAAAAAAATTGATTGGTTTCAGCTAATTTACTGGGTTTATCTACATTGCAAATAATCTTATAAAATATTATTATTCTTTCAATTAAAATTTAACATCAATAAATGTTTAACGCCATTTTTCTGTTTTTTGTATGATAGACCGTTTTGTAAACTGCAAACATTGTTTGAGGAAGACCATAATTTGAAAATGATCACGAGGTCATTCAAATTTTAACAAGCTGTGTGAGTAGTGCTTCTTTTTTTAAAACACTTTTATTTTTGCTTTATGTTTTGGTTTATATTTAATTTTTTTTTTAGCTATGTTGTTTATATATGTTTTTTTTTTTAGCTTTTCTTTGAACTTTTTAAAAACTTTTTAAAAATCATTAAAGATTTTACAGCAACCAAGTAAATTTTTTGTTTGATCTTTTTAATTTGTATTTTTCAGTTTTTTTGTTTTATTTTGCTTTTCTGCTTATTAGCATTTCTGTTTTCTATATGCCTACCTTTTAAATAAATTTGATTTTTTTTATTATTTAAAGATAAAAACAATCAATGAAAGAAAAAGTATAATCAATAATGAAAAATATCAATAATGATAATGACTTGAATCTATCTTTAATTTACTTTTATTTTTTTTTCATCTTTGCAGTTTCATCTTTATCTTCAATCTGTTTTTTAGTGGCTGAATTGCTTTAAAGTAAATTGGATTTTAGGTAAATTTTGTCATAAAATTTTTAATTTGAATATTATATTATATTCAATAATAGTGTTTCAAATTTAATATATTTTAAGTTAGTCGAGTCATATTTTATGTAAGTTAATCAACAAAGTAAAAAATGCACCTTACCTATTGGGTATTTAAAAGTAAAACTCAAAAACACTTAAAAATGAAAAAGTTTTTCCATTTTGAAAAATATTTTATATTTGTATAACAGAGTTTGCATAAGTTAAAATTTTTTTGATAAGAATTTTTTTTATAAAAAGGTAAATTATAAATGTAAAACTAAAAATTTAACAATAGTTTATAAAAAAATATTATTTTCTACATAATACAATTCATCAAAATTACTTAATGCAAAGAAGAGGAAGATGGGAGGATAAAAGAAAGGGGGTGGGAGATTTTTTATTAAATCTTAATTCAATTTAATAACAACTAACAATTTTAAAATAAAAAAAAAAGTCAACTTATCTTCGACTTTGAACCAAAATCTCAAAATCCAAATAAGTATTTTTTACAAAACATGGCTAAAGCAATTTAACACTTGTGTGACTTGCAGTCTAATGGGGAATTTCCTATTTATTATAATTTTGACCCTCCATCGGGCGCTTGATCAAATTGATACATGTCAATCAATTTTATCTAGTACGAGTTTTTGAGTAATCATTCAAAGTTCTGCTTTTTAGTAGCTTCATTTTTTTCCTTTTTTTATTGTTCTACATCATTAAACATGTTTAAATCACTTTATATTAATTGATTTTTATCATTTTGATCAAATTGATACATTGCACTCTTTTATGTTATATTTTATAAGTTTGATTATAATAAAAAATATTATATCTGGTAAATACATTTTTAAATTTGTAGACATAATTTGATATTATTTATTGTTCAATTCAACGGGAATGTATTTTTTTAAATTAAAATATCAAATTGATAATTGCGCCTTAGAGCGTTATTGGTTACAAAAGTCTTATAAGTATAAAAGGTTAGATATAAATCTAACCTTTTATACTTATAATTAAAACATTTTTTGTTTATATTTTTTAAATATATTTTAATTTGTTCATCTTTCTTTTTATTATATTAGTAATTCCTCTTTTTTGCCTCTAAAATTGATGAAATGGATTATTTAATCTTGAAAGTTCAAAAGATATAGAGGAATTTTAAAATAAATCTATTAGATAGAAAAGGAGGTAAAGATTAAAAAAAATAATTATATTTTGGGAATGTTTAACCTGTTGTTAGAAAAAATGTTTTCTTAAAGAGATGTTTTCATGAATTAGTGATGCCTTAACTTATTTCAAGAAGTGTAAAAAAAAAAAATAGAGGGTTACCAAAAGAACTCAGTGATAGTTTACATTGCTTTAGAACAATCCTAATTTTAGATAATATTAGAAAACTTAAGATAATATTAGAAATCAAAATCAAAATAAAAGATTCCAGACATGCGCACAAAATAAACGATTAACAAGGTATAATTATCAACAATGCCATCAACCTATTTGTTTGACACAGGGCTAACGACGTTGGTAGGGGTGGGTGGGGTGGTGGTGGGGTAGGGGGCACGTACCCAACCACTTTTTTTCTATAGTATCTTTTTTTTAAAGAGAAATTTCTAGATAGAGGACTTTTTTGTAAAAAAATAAACGATTCTACCCCTCCACTTCAAAACCTGTGTCATCGGCCATGTGGCACACCTAAAAAGCTTCTCCGGCAGTTGTGTAAAAACTTGCGAACTAGGTTTTGCGTTCAAAACGATATGTTAGAACATGATAATTAACATATTAAATTAATATTATATAAATGTTACACTTCTTTTCAAAGAATTCAGAAACTTTTTTTTTTTCCTAATTTTTTTTTATATAATTAGCTTTTTAGAATAGTTGCTGGAAATTTGTATCAACTTGATCAATGCGCCTCTTTTATTGAAAATAGCAATTGTTATGGAACTTTTAATTATTGTAAATACTTCATATTTGTTCAAAGTATATTTAAACAGTTTATAAAAAAATTATAAAAAAATAAAAATAAAATACTAAATTGGTGAATTGTTATGTGTATCAATTTGATACAATGCGCCTTCCCGAGTTACAAAATGATTGCGCCCGACAGAGGGTTAATAGAATTTAATATGCTTAATTTTTAAAAATTTAGAATTTAATATATAAGTTGTATCCTATGGCAAAGAATAAGCCATAAGATCATTTTTGACATTTACTATAGATGGACGATTTTTTAATTACACTGGTTACACTGTAAATTTTTTATTTTTATAAGTGACTAATAAAAATAACTGGTTTTTAATGTTTAAGATCATTTTATGTTTTTTTTCTGTAGTTTTGAGATTTTTTTTGTTGATATTAAGTAAAAATTAATAAGCAGGGAAGAGGAAGAGGGTTTTGGGTCTTAAAAAGCTTTTAGAAATTTTTATGAAAACTAATAAATATACCCTCCCACATTTTAAAGCACGCATTTCCCTCCTGAGTATTAAGTTCAAGGAAAGCTTGATATTATTATTTATACATTTAGATATTCGATGATGTTGAAGATTCTGAAAGTAACTATCAAAATATATAAATAAATAGAATAAAAGTTTTTACATGACTTTTGTTTAAAACATAATATTTAACTTGTAACATAAGTTCAATTTTTAGTTGATCTTAAGAGAGCCAATAAAAATCTCATCAATAGTATCATCATTGTGGCATATAGTTGAATTTTGTTAAAGAGTTTGCAATAAAAATATCTTATTAAAATAAATATATTTTAATTGAAATTTAATATATATTAATTTGGTATATTTTAATTGAAATTTAATATATATATTAATTTGGTATATTTTAATTGAAATTTAATATATATTAATTTGGTATATTTTAATTGAAATTTAATATATATTAATTTGGTATATTTTAATTGAAATTTAATATATATTAATTTGGTATATTTTAATTGAAATTTAATATATATTAATTTGGTATATTTTAATTGAAATTTAATATATATTAATTTGGTATATTTTAATTGAAATTTAATATATATTAATTTGGAATATTTTAATTGAAATTTAATATATATTAATTTTGTATATTTTAATTGAAATTAAAAGAAAAGTTTGGGATTTTTATTTATTAGTTTGATTTCTTTTTAGTTAACAATGGTGATAAAGAAGAAGCTAAAAGTAAGTTTAAACTTTAAAAATTTTTTTATACACTCGAGTGCTTAATACAAAAGGGAGGGGGTGGGCGTAACAGAAGGGAGGGATCGGAATTTAAGTATAGATCTAATAAATGGGAAAATGGAGTATTACTTTAGTATTAGTATAAAGTTATTAACAAATCTGATGATTATTAACAAACCTGATGTGTTGTTTTGGTAATGATATTTGACAAAAACTGTCTGTTGTGAAAATTGTTTGTATGTGTATTAAATATTTTTTACAGTTGCAATGGGTGCAAAAGTTTTTTTAACTGTAAACATGAGATTAAATGATGGAAAAGGACAGTTTTCACGATGGCTGCTAAAACTTGGTAGTGGAATAATACCCATCAAGGAGAAAGATCTCTTTAAAGAATGCATTGAAATATAACATCAGTGCATTGTTAAAGAAAATGATTCTATTGCTAAAAAGATATTCGGAGATGCTGAACAGGATGATTATTCTAAACGTGTTTTTAATTTCCACAAATGCTTATTTTTTTAATCGATTATTATTGATCAATCAAGATGTGGCTGAAGGTCTACACGGAGAGGTCAAAGCATGTTTTAACGCTGATCAATTTGTAATTAATAACCTTAATAAAAGAAAAGACTTTCCTAATTTTGAACAGCTTAACTTTTTTCATATTGTTTGAAATTAAAAATTGGTTGTATAACTATGCTAATCAGAAATTTAGATCACAAAGCTGAATTATGCAATGGTAATAAAATGAAAGTTTATGCTCTTTAAAATAATTATATAGATGCATAGATAGGTTTTGATGAGGTGTTTCTGGTAGCAAATGGGTATTTGTTCCTCGAATTCAGTGAATTTTTTTAAAAGAATTATTATAGTTATAATATTAGTCACAACATATTTTATTAAGTTTCTACAGTAACTACTTATAATAGTCTTATATAAATGACTTTTTTTTAATATATAAATTCAAACATAATCTAATTAAACTCTTCCTTTTTTAAGATGATTTTGTCATTGATTAAATAGAATGTCTACTGTTAAAGCATGATTTTAATTTAGTAAATTTATATGATTTGAAATTTACTGTATTACCCATTAGTCAGCAATTCGAAAGAAGAAACAAGAATAATTGAGATAAAAATAATTTTGTTTACTGGTTTTATGACTATTTATTTTGTTGCTATTTTGTATTCCTACCCAGTGGGCACACAGGCCTTGCAATAAAGTGTCGGCCGATGTGAATTTTACGCCGTCCAAGAGCGATTTTGCGTGTAGCTAGGGCTATTTGTGTCGAGCAAAAAAATTTTTGTTTGAGTATATTTAAAGATATTTTTGAGCGGAATTTTAATGAAGTAATTTATGATTATTTTAACTTTTAATAAAGTATTTTAAAAACCGCATGCAGTTGATACAAAAGTTTGATTTACAAAAAAATTAAATATGCTCATTATTTACAAGTAGAAAAAATTCAGATAAAAAAAAAGTTTAAATCTTTTTAAGGTAACATTTTAATAAAATTATTCAGCAATAGCAAAGTTGTCGATAAAATTGAACAAAAACACTTTCTTTTAGTTACAGATATTTAACTTAAATAATTATTTTATGGAAGTTTGTTAGGTTTTAAATCATTCCATAGATTTAAAAATATTCATTAACTGTTAGAGGTATTTAAAGTATTTAAGAGTAATTTCGAGGAAACATTTTTAAAAGTGATTGTGCTTATCAACCGCTTTATGAAAATAAATAAAAATAAAAAAATATTATATAAAATCGCTAGTAAAATATTAGCTATTGCACAGTTTTTAATCGTACAATATTAAAATTTCCAGTTTATTACTCGCTAACTTTTTTTAAAAAAAAAAATAATTATTTGAAAAACTTTAAATTACATACTTGAGGAAAAAAAAAATCAAATATTAGCATATTTTATAATTTTTTTTAAATGTTTAGTTATAATGTTTTTTATTCGTTTAGTATAGACAAAACTTGTCAAACGTCGAGAAAATAAACAAATGTTTTTACATTTTAAAAAACGAAACATTCTAAAACATTTTTAAATAATAACATTTCTACATTAATGATTTAAAGTAGTTTTGCAGTAATTAAATAAATTGGTGCAGTTAATGTCGATAAATATGAAAAGCAAATAAAAAGAATTTAATGACGTCAAAAATCATGTCGTGCTTATGCATCGCGCAGTTTTTATTCATCACAAGGCCTGGGCACATGACATGAAAAGATGTCCTTTGAACATTTAAAAGACATTTTTTAGGTCCGGTGCTAACTGGGTATCTTGTGTGATTAACTAATTTACATTTGTTATGCTCATAATAAATTATTTAATGAGTCATAATGATTTGTTGAAAGTTTTTTCAACTTTTTAAAGCAGTACCTTAGAAATGGTGTCAGCCTCTCTTTATCGAGGATTTATCAATAAAGGGACAAAATAAGTTCTATGTTACTATTAAGTTCAAAGGTATTATAACAAGTTTTTCGCTTATATTTATTTATGTTATAAAGTCTTTAGGTAGTTAAAAGTGAGCAGAGCTAAGTAGATTATTTATGAATAAATTTTCAATTTAATATAACTTTCAGATAATATATTGAGTTAAATTGGTTTATTTAATAAAAAGTTGTGTTACTGGTTGCTTACAGCTAGTTTAAATTAATTTATAAATGCACAACTTTATTAAAACACATGGCATAAAACAAAAACAAATGTTAAATTGTTAAATGTTAATAATTAAATTATATTTTCTTCAACTTAAAATTTTTTTAAATTATTATAAATTAAAAATATTTTTAAATAAAAAATTACAAAAATTTACTTTCTGCCCTGCCTCTGACCTTTCTAATACTAAAAAATCAAGTAATCTAAATGCTTGTTCAATTACAATATTTGATGTATACATTGCTAAAATTGATAAAAAATATTACCGACTACATTTTTTAGACAATAAAGATAATATTTTCTGAAAGGGATTGTGACACAAATCATCTTCTCCATAATCTAATAAAATGACCTATAAAATTAATAAGAAAAATAAAAAGTTCAAAACAAAATACAAAAACCTGACGACATAAAGTAAAAAATTTTTTGAAACCTTTTCTACACTAAGTAACTCATTGAGGTGTTCATTTTCTTCATCCAAAAATGTATTTAAAATAGCCATGCATGGCTGGAGCAGCCATCCATATTTATAAAACAAACTAATATTGCACCTGAATAAATCCAAAAGGTTATTTCAAATTAAATTTAAAAGTAAAGAGTAATCTGTTGAATAAAGACATTAACAATTCCTTGTACTATTTACTTGAACTTTTCCAACATCTTTTCCAAACTGGTAATTGAAAATGAGTTTTCCTCAGGAATAGGAATATTTTCATTCTCTAAGGCTGCTTTTAGCTTGTTGCACACATATGATATACATTCCTAAAATTAAAAAATTTCATTTATTCGTACAATTTTTTTTACAATAGTTTAATAAAACAAACTTTTTAGATGTATAGATGATTACAACTGTTCTACAAAAACAGAACTTTTCTAAGCATCAAACAAAATGTCTTTCACAAACACCACCCGCCCAATATCCACTCCGAACTCCACACAGCTAAATAAAAAAACTCTTAACGAACACCAATTGTATCCAAGAAAGAACAATAGATAACAAATGTCACCTTTTTTGGTTGACTGATAAGAACAGATAAAAGCTCTTTATGTTGATTATGATCTGGATAAGAAAGACAACCAGGAAATAACGTCAACGGATTGACACTACCATTACAAGTGCAAAATAAAACAAAAACATAAGCAATGTTATTAAATAATTGAAAGTATTACAAGTTACAAGTAGTCAATCAAGAATAAACAATATACAAAGTAAAATTTGATACTAGTTCTCATAACTAGCTTCTATAAACTCCTGTGATCCACAATTATGCCTGTGATCAAGAATCTGTATTAGATAGTGAGGTGTTACCAACTATCATCTATAGTCAATCAGCACTATTTTTACCCTTAGACAACAAGAAAATGCTGTCAAAATAGAAATTATTTCGCACAAAAAGTCATTTATAATAAGAAAAAATAAGTAAATTTTCAACTATTTGTTTTAGTTTTAACTTTCTCTGTAGAATTTTAATAACATAAAATTTGTTTTATCTTTTTCCAACAGTTAGTTACTAAACTTATTTAGAGCCTAAAAATTAAAAATTCTTTAACTTTTCTTTGTAAATTTGTCATAATAGTTTTTAAAATAACAGGGAAAAATTATTTTACTCTTGAATTGCTTTGGTCTACTGCTAACTAAATATTGAATTTCTTAATAGTAATGATGAATGGAATAACATTGCAATGCAATTTTATTCCATTCATCAAATAAAAACATCCAAATCATATTTTAAAAATCCAGAAACAATCTGCAAAAAGAATCTGGAAAAAATCTGAAAATAATTTTATTTTTTATTTGTCTTAGTTTTGCCTTAAACTGATAGCTTTCTCAATTTTTTCAAAACTTTTCTTACTTTTTGAATGAAATGACTAAAAAAGTTTAGTTAAAAATGTATTTCAAAAATATGTTTAAATTTGCATTTATGGAAAACTTTTTGGAAATCTGAAAAAAACTATTACTTGAAAAAAATTTCGGAATTCCTGATATATTTGAAAAAAGTCTGTAAATTGAACAAAATTCCTGATATATTTGAAAATTCCTGATATATTTGAAAAATCTCTGTAAATTGAACAAAAAACACCATAATACTTTTTAAATGATTTTTATGAACTAAAAAAATATATTGATGAGCAAAGAATATTTAAATATAATAATTAGTTTCAAAAAAAAAAAAAAGATTTCTAAATTTAATACTAACTTGAGTTCAAAAAAAATGTAATACCACTAGATGGTATGTTTTATGGCATGGTATGTTTTATTTGTTTTGTTTTTTTACATTTTTTACACATTTTTACATAAAAAAATGTGACTTTTTGTAAATGATATCATTATTGTTTACATTAGTGTGATATTTTGTGAGTATACATTATTTTGTATACTCACAAAGTCAACAAGTTTGTATATACTCTAGTTTGAAAACAGTTATTCGCCAATACAACAAGATTCAAAAAACTAAAACTGCTATATTTATATTTTATAATTTTAATTTACTTTTTTAGTAATTGTAAAATTATGCAACTTCCCTGTTAAATACAAATTAAAATACCAAACAGCTTGAGAAAAATGTTATAATATATCAATGATAATAAAGACAGCACTCCAGATTTCCATGGTAACAACAATCAGTTGTTTAATGAGTTTTTAAATATATATTTTTACAAATATGCAAATTAGTTTTTTGGGTGTGGAAACTGGGTGGGAAAAAAAATATTATAATGAAAGTGAACTTGAAAAACTATATGTAAACAAAAACTATATGTAAATAAAAATGGGAAAAAACAGTTGAATTAATGTGGTAATAAGAATAGCAAGTCACTCTCTGTTATATCATTTTTTCACTACTTTAACATAATAAAACAAATTAATAAAAAATAAACCATACTTATAAGAAAAACTTATCAACGCAATACTTTTTTAATAATTTATAGACAAAAAATCATTTCATTATGTACAAATTGACATACTCATAAATACAACACTTACACATTAGGAATTGTAAAAGATTACTAAACTGTTATGAGCTTACTTTCCATCAGCAAACAGTCCTTTCATATCAATAGAGACATCGTTATTATGATGACTCAAACGAGGCAATATTTCAAAAATAGTACTTAGCACACTTTCAGATTGATGGCTCATTGGTGAAACTAAATCAAGAGTACGATCAACAAAGACTATTGATGCACGAGATGATGCCACCTAAAATTTAGGAGAGAAAAAAAACAAAAATATTGTTTACTTCACTTTTATAGTTATATAAAGTTTTTTCATTTTAAAATAAGTAAACCTTTCTTCTCCCTCTTGCTTGCGGCATGTTTGCAAGTTCACTAGCTACTACTTTACTAAAATGACCCACAGCATAACAATCTTCGTTAATGCTCATAGATTCAAACCAGGTGTTCAAAGAAGCTGCAAGCATCTAGAGATAACTTATATAACTCAATTTAAGTTTACGACCATAAAAGAAGAAGCACCTTAAAAAAAAAGGAAGAACCTTAATTTAAAAAAACTAAATGTGTTTTATTTATCAAATAAAAATTACTAGATAACCTTAACTTGAGCTTGAACATTATGTGGCAGTGAATTTGCATCTATTTCTCCCAGATGATTGAATGTTCTTTTAATACCCTTTAAATTAATAATAATAAAATATAATACAATTTTAAAACATAAAATAATTTAAAAAGTAATTAAATGACTGTAAACTTATTATTTACCTGAGTATATAAAAAAGCCTGTAACCTTGCTACATCCGAAGGCAACACTGGAAATAATTTACTATGACTCGTTGTTATAAACAGGTTTTCAGAAACATTTATACCAAAAAGAGGTATATGAACTACAAGTACTGAGCTGAGCTGTTAAAAGAAAATAATTACATTTTGCATTTTTTTAAATAATTATATAATCATAAAACCATATGAAATTTTAAAAAATGTGTAAAAATATGCATCAGAGGACTAGACCGAGCTGTCAAGCCCAAGTGATTTTGCATTTTTTTAAATAATTATATAATCATATAACCATCTGAAATTTTACATTTTAAAAAATAAATTTCAACCAAGAAGCAGACACTCATTTCATATACATGATCTCAATAATAAACTCAGTACATTCCCCATACTGCACTTAACTTGTTTCTCTACTTGCCTTGCACTTAACTTGTTTCTCTATTAAATTGTTTCATATTAAAAGGTGGTGAATGAAAAAAATATTCTTTATTACATTATCTTGGTAGTAGCAAAATAAAAATTAAAGCCTTACCTCATCTTTCATCCATAACTTTACTTTACAAGCAAATTCTTTAAAGCTTCCACCTAAAAACTGCTGCACATCATCTGTTACAACAGAAACAACTACACATGAGCGAAAGTCACTGTTATTAATAATTTTCTGCATATATTTTGAAACAGAGCCATATAAGTTGCTAGACACAGCAAATACAGCTTTATCTTCAGATTCTAAACATTCCTAAAAAAAATTTTATACATTAGCAAACATTATATATACTATGTCAATGGAATGTATAGAGATGTGAATCATTTTTTTGGTTCTTGTTTTTTTTTTTGCCAAAAAAAATCAATGGTTTTGTTTTTTGGTTTTTGTGGGTTTTTTTATAAACTACTCTTTTTCTAATTTTAAACACTGAAATAATTTTAAAAATTTGTGTATAGGTGTTATTAATTAAAGGAGAGTTTTCATTCTTTTATTTAACATATGATTTATTAGTATTGCCTAAAGTTCTTCAAGTAGCAGATCCCCAGAAAAAAATTTTTTTTTTTTGTAACTAACTACTTAAACACCTTGAACTTTAACATTTTTATAAATATCAATAGTTTGTTTTTAGGTGATATTTAATAAAAGACTTTGTCATTCTCCTATTTAATCTTGTTTTACAAGTTCTTCAAATGTTCATCAAATAATTTTAATAATTGTTCTTTGATGACTTACTAATAATATGCTAAGATAAAATTGAAAAAATTATTTAAAGAAACATTTTTCTTATAAAACACATAATAAGTAAAGGAGATTTCTTTTTTGTTTTTGTTTTATATAGATATGTTTTTTTAATGCAGATATGTTTTTTTAGTTCAAAACAATTCTTCCTTAACATTAAAAACAAATTTTTCAACAGAATGAATTAAAACTAATTATTGTAATTTGTAGAATGAATGAGAACTTTTTTAATTTATAAATGAAGTTTTTTAATTTATAAATGAAATAAAACTGCATTGCAAAATTTATATGTATTGTGTAAGTTTTGTATAGTTTTAATTTTTTTTTTTTAATTTTGCTACCTTATTTTATGCTTTTTGTTTTTTAATTTTATTTCTGCAATTGCAAATAAATTATATTTTTCAACATTTAATTTCAGAAAGTGGAAATAGTAATTTTAATATTGTTATAAATAATATTGCATAAGTGTGTTGTAGTATTTTTATTTTTTAATTTTATACCTTTATTGTAATTTTCTTTTTTTTAACATCTTCGCTTCCAACAAGGCTGCAAGCAACCACTAATTAGTATTGGGAGTTACTGAAAGATAAAAGATGAAGATTGTAGAGGAAGATAATGATTGACAGACAACTTAAAAGATTGCAAATTATATGAATCAGGAAAGCAAGATGAAGGAAGCGAATTCCAAAGAACTGATGTTCGAGGAAAAAAACTAGACGAATAAGAGCTTTTGGAGCACTTAGGAACAGTAACAGAAAAAGGATGAGACTTAATTGAATGACGAGTAACACGAGAATGAATTTTTGTAGATGGCACAAGAGACGCTAGCTCTTTAGAGCAGTGCCCATTATAGTATTTGTAGAAAAGAGAAAGAGAAGCAACATTATGACGATGTGACAGAGGTTGAAGGTTGGCTGCAAGAGTAGGTCCAACTATGTTTACAATGCATTTTTGCTTTGAAACATGAGATTGTTAATGATGATATATTGTTGTTTTAAAAATTTTTATGTAATAGTTTATCATAATTTTTAGTAAAGTAAATTTTTAGTAATACAATTATTATTATTAGTTTTTTTAATAATATAACTGAATTATGAAATTATTTTAAAATATAGCCTTTATAAGGTATTTTAAGGATAAATTAAGCCGATTTCTAATCAAAATAGTTACATCATTTAGTTGTTTGATTAGAACATAGTAATGAGTAGAAATAATAGAGAGGTCTGTGGACACACTGGGGATAGAAAAAAAACAACATCTGTGAGCATTTTATTCAAGCCAGCAAGCCAGGTGAGCAAAATAGAAAGAGTTCAATGTTCTTTTTGCAATGATGTTATGTCAAAAAGTGGAACACGAATGGCCATGCATATTAAAAAATGTAGAAAATGTCCAGTTGAAGTCAAATAAAAAATTTTAAATGATGTCACAGTCATGTCAAAAAAAATCATGACAAACAACACAAAGTAAAGCAACATGCAAATTTAAAAACTTTATTTTAAGTCAGCATTGTAATGTCACAAACATTATTTCAGACCCTTTAAAACACTCAGCACAAATTTCTAAAAGTGGTAAATCCTGTTCAATGTTTTATAGCATAAAACAATGTGAAAAGGTATCAACATTTATTTTTTTTGCATAGTATATTTATTTTTAACTATTTATCTAAGATTAATGTCATAAAAATCAATTGATGTACATCTATCTAGAGCTATTTACGCAAATGGGTCACACATGAGTTTAGTTGATAATAAATACTGGAGAACCTTTTTAAATAGCTTACGCCCATCAAGGTTTGAAGTATCAAACACACTCTTGGATAAAGAATTCAATAGAATACCAAGCAATGTTAAAGAATTAATTGCAATAGCAGACTCTGTAGGACTTATGTGGGATGGATGAAGTAATATTAGGTTAGTATTAGTTTAATAATTTAAACAAAAATAATTATGTATTATTTATGCAAATAAGTTAAAAATTAAATTTGAAAACTATCGATATTTTTCAGAAATGAAACAGTTTTTAAATTTTGTGTTGACATTACCTTCATCAATGCCTATTTTATGGAAATCACTACCTTCATTTATTTTTAAGAACAAATGATAAATACATTTTTTTAAAAAATTGTTTTTAACTCTCTCCCAACTCTTAACTTAGTTCTTCACCTTCAAAACTTTTTCTAATTTTATAACTGAACATTTTGTAAAGTATTTACATGAAAGTAATAATTTTCAGGTTCATCAAGTCATTCTGGTGAATACATAGCAGATGAAATACGGAGGGTATTAAAAGAAATTAATTCTAAAAAAGTTATGGAAATAGTAACAGACAATGCAGCAAACATGAAAAAGGCATGGAAACTATTAAAAAACAGCTATCCTCTTCTTAATTGCTATGGATGTATATATCATGGTCTCAATTCGCTTTTTAATGATTTTATAAAAAACCTACTCTTTGTGTGTTAATATTACAAGCAACAGTTATTGTAAAGTAATCAAAAACTCTTACATAATAGGTGCAGTATTTAAAGAAATTCAAAAATCAACAGTTGATTCAAACATTTTATTAAAACTACCAGTAAAGACCAGTCAATTTGTTATGATTATGCAATTAATTAAAACATAGATTTGTATAGCTATCTATTTTATTTCTAATTTGATATTATTAAATTAGGATATGTGATTAAAATCTATTTATTAATAGATGGGGTTCCAATGAGTTCTGTCTTGAGAGTATACAGAAAAATAAAATCTTTGGTTATCTCTGAGCGATGTGTATTATATTTTATAACAAAAAATAGCTTGTTATCAGATATTTTTTGGGATAAGGTTCAAGGATTTTTAAAGCTGATAGCACCAATAGCTGATGTAATCAAGATAACAGAAGCCGACAGCCCAATGTTGTCGTCTATAGTTGAAATCTTTTATAATTTAGAAAATAATATTAATCAAAACATAGAAAGCAGTCCTAAAAAAAAAAAAAGAGGAAGTAGAAATGAAAGAACTATTTGCTAAAAGAAAAAAATTTTGCTTAACAAAAATTCATATGGCTGCTAATCTACTTGACCCCAAATATCAAGGAAGATATTTAAATGGGAAGAAAAGGTTAAATTATTAGTAACTTATGTTTATTTTTATTAAACTAAGTAAAACCATTAATGGATTATTTAAATTTTTTAACAGATTGATGCATGCGAAGTGATATATTCAATTGCTTTAAACTCACCTAATACCAAAATAGGTATTTTGATGGCTGATTTAGCAAATTACCAATGTAAAGGAGGAGTTTTTTCAAAAACTTTTATATGGACAGCTATTGACCTAACTTTTGGTCCAAACTAGTAGAAGGGATTATGTTCGTCTACTGAATTATCAAAAGCACAGTAAAAATACTTCAGCTTCCTGCTACAAGTGCTGCTTGCGAAAGAAGTTTTAGCAGTTATGCAAATATTCACAGTGCCAAAAGAAATAGATTAACAAATGAAAGAGCAGCAAAATTAGTGTTTGTATTGCAAAATTTAAAACTTGAAGCAATGGATATGTGTGCAATACAACAAACAATTCTGCCTAAAAGACCAATAAATATTTCAGATAAATCTCACGAACAAATAAATGTTTCAGATAAAGAGTTTGAACAAGTACTTGACCAAGAATCAGAGTTTTCTAGTCAACATTCTGTAGATGAGTTTTAGATAAAAAAAAATTGAAATAAAATTGTTTCTTATTAATTTTTGAATTCAAATTTTGAAAAGAACAAATAGTTTGTTAACCATTTTAGCAATACAAAAATCATTAATTTAACTTTTTTGTGAACTCTGTTCACGCTTTAATAAAAATAGATTAATTTTAATATAATCTAATATAGAATCTAAAATACTCAAACAAAACTAAATTAGAAACATTTTAGATAACATTTAAAAAAAGTTAAAATTAAACAAAAATACTAAAAGGATCTGTAAAAGCCAAAAAAACTCCAAAAAAATCCCTCCAAAAAAACACGTTTTTTGGGGTAAAAAAAAACAAGTTTTTTTTGGATGAAAAAAACACTTTTTTTTTTGGGTGAAAAAACACTTTTTTTTTTGGGTGAAAAAACATGTTGTTTTTTTTGGTGAAAAAACGTTTTTTTTTTGGTGAAAAAAACACGTTTTTTTTCTTAGGTGAAACAAACACGTTTTTTTTTTTGGGTGAAAAAAAAAACTTTTTTTTTTGGGTGAAAAAAACACGATAGCAAAAAAACACGTTTTTTGGCATCTCTAGAAATGTATTTTTATAATGATTTCTTCACTATTTGATAAGCATCATTCTAAATTTCAATATAAAAAATTCTTATTTCTGCACTTCAATGTATAAATTTAAAAAAAAAAAGAAAAAACATATATTATATTTACTAAGATTACACATTAGCCTCAACAATTACTGTTAGAACAGAAAAATTATCAAAAGGATAATTTAAAGATTTCTTAGAGAATCAAAAGGCTATGCGATTACAACCAAAGATTTTCTTTGCAGTAGTACTTT